TTTTTGCTATGGGAAAATGCAAGTAAAAAATGCATTTCTGACATTTAGACACATTTCTTCATGTTGATGTTCCATTCTCTTTATCTCTGGAACAGTCACCACCTGCTGTCTCACTTGAAGGGTATCTGGCATACTCCTAAAAGGTTTTTCAAGAGTAGAGCTACATAAGATGACCCAATTAACCTAACAGCTTATGCAGTCCAAAAGCAGCACTCCTGTTCCTTCCTTTCCTCTCTGTGGCATTGGTCCTGGATGCATGGCACCTCTGGGTAACATTTTGTCTCAAGAGGTCTGGAGGAATGAGCGTATCCATCTGCACAGACGAGCTTCAGCCCAGCCCTGACTCTTGATGTGACTACAAGTCTTATCTTCAAGCTGCTTCCTTCAGTACACAAGACACTAGATCAAACTGGTAGTGTTGAATAGTGATGAGAAGTGTATGCCATGCCCAATTCAGTTCTCAATCCAGTGCCCAGATCAGCAATAGACTCTAGGTCAATGACTTTTTTCCTAATTGATTTTTTCCACGGATTAAACATCTGTGTACAAACACTGAAGTTCTTTAATGCTTTTCCAAATTTTGGACAGTCTTGCATAATCATTTCACAATATTTATAGTGGCAATTTGAGTTTCAACTTAAGTTGTTGCTCTTATCTCCTGATTCTACAGCAATGATGAGGTAAAAGGAAAGACAGAGTGGAAACTATTTTGGCACATATATGCACTTTCCCAATGTGCTAAGAAAACCTTTATCTTTCTCCCCTTCACTGTAGCTAACAGGTCAAAAGAAGGGATACTGTGTACTCCAGAACACAGCAGGAGCTTGTATTGATAGAAGGGGAGTAGAGCACATCCTGTATCTTGATTTTGGAAAAACACTTGTTACATACAATATAAGCAAGCTAGGGAAAGACAGTCTAAACATAGCTATATATAGGGAGTATGAGAACAGCAGGAAAAGCATACTGACAAGGTGATCATCAAAGATTTACTGCTAAAAGGGAAGCCTGCACCAAGAGAATGTTGCAACTTACTAAATGCCTATTTAACATATTTTCATTGTGTCCTGGACTGAAACTGTTTTGATTATGACTGGATGATCAGACAGAAAGCATGCATATTAGATTTACAACTGACTCTAAACTGGGACAGCCTGTGAAATAATTGAGAACAAACTTGGATTAAGAAAAGAAAATGTAAAAATGTAACAGAAAACAAAACTGAACGCAGTAGTCATTGTAACAATCCACACTGCATCCATAACTGAAAATTACATGTAATTCTACTCTGTCTTCAAAAGGGATACAGAAGATCTAGAAAAGATTCAGTGAAAGTTGATACAGATGACTGAAAATATGGGATGTGTCTTTAGGAAGCCTTTTGACAGACAGGACAAGACTTTTCAGTCTGAGAGAGAAATGGCTGAGGTAGGATGTATCAGTAACCTATAAACTTCTGAGTGGCATGAAAAAAGATGAATAGCAAAAAATTATTTATCCTCTTTCAAATAAGGCCCAGGCAGCACAAAATAGACTTATGATTGGGTCAGAATAAACAAATAGAGGTAATTTTTAACATGATTGTTAGTTGAGCAGTGTAGCTCTTTCCCACAGAATGTTTTGCATGCCAGAAGTTGAGATTGTTCAAAACTGATTATAAAAATTAATAAAAAGAAAGTTTCATATTGATTTCATCATGTAACTTACTAGACTACCAGGATGTTAAAAATCTTTTTGATTATAAAATGATCTGACAGCTCCTGTCTCTGTAAGGCCACAGAAGCAGACAGATACTTCCTGCTGAAACTCTCTTCCTGAACATTTAGTACCACATTTATAACATGGACAGCCAAAGAGACTGCAACTCAAAAGACTGCTGTCTTCCCAAATTCTGCAGTCCATCAGCAAGGATAAAAATTGTTCCAAACAGATATCAGTTTTACAGCATTACAAGAAAACATGATATGAATTGATCTATTTGGAGACCAGTGATGCTTATTGTTTGTGAGATGAAGTTAAGTTTTCATATGCTTGTAAGGCTGCAACACACAGCCAGAAAATCCAAGTTACATGTTTGTTTAACTGGTAAAATCTGTATAACAATGATTATGCTAATGCTGTCAACACACAGGAACTGGAATATGCTCATAGGCAACAAATACATTCAGTGACTTTGAGAAGACTCAGCATAAAGAAAAAGAAAGTGGAGGTTTATGCAAAAGCTGCAATTTGAACAGAAAACACAACTAAAATTGTATTTTTTTTTAAAGTTAATTAGTATACCTACGACTTAGATATACTAACTGGAGATTGTTAACTGGATTTACTGCCAGAGTATGCTGATAGCTGATCTAGTGAAGTTAAGAATTTCAGACCATGGAACTGGAAAATATTTAAGGTGCAAACTGAAATATGATGAAATAATAAAATATTTCAGTCAATGCAATATTGACATATTAAGTTAATTAAATAATTTAGTAAGCTCTATGACCCTTAACTAAATGTATGCGTATTATTAATCCTTCTATTCAATCCAATGCAAGACTAAAGCAGTGCAATATGTTTGTACTCCAAGTGCCCTCCTGAAATGGATTTTTACAATGCAGCTAAACAGAATGCTGGGATCAGTCAGAAGGCAGCGAACATGATGTAGCCAGTAAGCAGAAAAAATATGTAAACTCACCTGCATGGTGTTCTTGAAGTAAATGCTGTATTACCCAAGAAAAATACTGATCACACACTGTTACCTGTGATTTTCTTGGAGTGTCTAGTGCTTCACAGCTGAGGATCTTGTTAGCAAATACTTCCTTTGCAAAACGTCCATTCCTAAAAGACAAGCTCACAAAATTCTGTACAACACATAACAGGAAAAATTCTCATCCTTCATCTTTCTTTCTTCCTCATTAGGAAATACTCAGGAAAACTTTGGGGAAAAAATAAGATTTAACATCATTGTATTTATTAGGTTCCAAAACAATACACATTCACATCCTTTTGAATACAGTACATTTGGCACAGTAATAAGGTTTACGATGAAATAACACTAATGAGTGGCAAGAGATTCAAATTACATCCATAAGAAAAAAAATTCTGTACAAATAAATCCTCACAATAAAAAAAAACCTACCCCCCTAACTGAATACATTTTATATTTAGCCAGAACTATTCTGCACATAATTTAAAAAGAGGTAATTTTTAAGCCTATTTGGAGAGAATTATTTTTCACACTTTGGAGATAAATGTGTTTCCATTTTTAAAGTCTGCTTGGGAGGAAAACCAAGAAACAATGTGTTCTTTATAATTATTATTATGAATAATAATTTTGGCATTTTGCACTCATTTTACGAAGAAGGAACAGAAAAGATTCTACAGAACAGGCAGAAATGTAACAGAATGTTCTTTTTTAAGAGTTATCTTTAAAAATGTTCAAGGTAACAGACAGACCTTCTGATGTAAACCCACGGCAGAGGATCTAACTATTTATACGGAAGAAATATCTGCCCATGCAATAGTTTCTATCTCCTTCACTTTTCTCTTAGCATCTCACCCAACACTGCAGGCACTGAGGCCTCTTGACATATGAACATTTGCTAATTATCTTCATGTTAGAAAGGGGAATACAGACTACATAGCTTGTGCACAACAGCTTTATGGGATGTTTTTATTCCTTCAAAATAAATGCGCAAAGTTCTGTGTAAAGGCCCCTTGTTGGACAAACAGTAGTGCACGATCCCATAACTTGTCTTCCTAGCAGTCTACTCACCCATGAAAAAGAACACCTTAGCATTGTGATCAGTTCTTGCCTGGATGTCAAAAGCTAACTGTGATGAGAAATAAACAGAGCCAGTGGCGAGACACAAATTGATGGGCAGCTCTACAATATATTTCTAAGAGAGAAAGAGATTTAAACATTGAGATGATGCAATCATTAAGATGTTCTGTGCTGGTACTCAGCTCCAGAAGCTAATCTTTTCCCAGTACAAAAGATTACTGAAGATAAATTAAATTAAACTAAAGGCTTGATCCTTATTACACTTGTAGGCCAGACAACACATTAATTGATATATCATAATATTTAATATTTTGAAATAATCATAAGAATATATATAATAATTACACCTGAGTTTTAAAAACAAAACAAAATGGAACTGAATGGTGTCATCAGTAACAGGCTATGAGCAGCCAGACACAAAACTGACACAAACTAACTCACCTGTTTGAGACCAAGATTATCTCTTAAAGCCAATGATTCACACTTTGTCCACCACGATTTGTAACATTCCTTTCTCTTTCCGAGCTCTATCATGTCATAATAGAGTCAAAGAGAACTATACAAGAGTTTTAGTATAGCTTAATATATGTCTATGTCTTTTATAACAAAAACCTCATCTTTCTGACAGTAACTTGAACCAATACACATACAAGAGTATTGCACATGGACATTATTATAATTATTCTTTCATAGACTAACATTTTAATAGTATGCCTGAACATGCAGCAGTTGATACCTCTATATTCAATGAATTCCACAGGCCTTGCAGCAAACACTATATACAAAATCTCACCTGTACAAAAGGCAAAAAAGCTTTAGTGCCACTTTGCCAATCACAAGTATATATATTTTTGTGCAGCTGGAAATCCATGTGCAACAATTAAAATGGATTCCAATGACCGCTCACTCAGTCCAGTAAAATATATAATAAAATGACCTCAGCGATACATGTACACAAAAAAAAAAAAAAAAAAAAAAAAAAANACCGCTCACTCAGTCCAGTAAAATATATAATAAAAAAAAAAAAGCGATACAAGAACAAAAAAAAAAAAAAAAAAAAAAAAAAGAAAAAAAAAGATTAAAACCAAAACCAAATCACAGGGTACTCCTGGAAATATAAGTACATAACACTGTTTGCGTATCTACAGGAGGTAACTTCACATTAGTAGTAATGTCCACATGAGTTACCATTTCAATTCATACACACAAAAAAAAAATCAATTTACAGTTTTCAGTAATGTCAGTTTGTGAATGTTTGATCTTCAGTTTTTAACACATCTCCACATAATGCATGTGTAGCCTTACTTTGTGTCTTCTAAAAGCAGATTTCTCTTTAGATTTTAAACATAAAACCCAACAAACACAGTAGTATTATGGTTTTGCAAAAGTGTGCAAAAGTAACACACTGCTGAGAAAATAAATATAAATAAGAAATTATTTACCAACTTAGCTACTATGGAAAAGGCAAATTTATAATGTTTATAATTAATTTTTTATGTAAAATTAACTGTAAACATTTGTAAGCTTACCGTCACATTAATGGTTCATTTAAAAGGACATTAAATTTGGTAACATGGATAGTACACCAAATTGTTTGAAAAACAGTAAAATGGCTATGTATAGCAGAGTTAAATCACTGTAGGCTTTTTATTCTTTAGCCCTTTAATATCTATCCATGTAGCATCCGTTTCTTGCTTTAAAAAAAATTTCAGTTATCTTTTTGTCTCTCATTCCTAAGAGCTTCCTGTGTATTATATGAGGAAGTTCACTGAAAACCTTAATTGATGTGCTTCTTTTTCTGGACAATTTCATAGTTTGTACCTCTCCACAAAAAATTAATAACTGAGGATTACACCTCCATGAAGGCAGACTTTGCTTTCCAAAGGACATCTGAGTACAGATCTCACCATAACCACCACGGCAAAAGAAACAGTTCTTACCTTCTTAGCTTAATTATATATGATGATTACAGAATCTGATCTGCTAAATTGCTTTCAATAGCATAGCTTAATTTCCTATGCAAAAGATGCAATTTTGTCCTCTGGGAATTCCTATTCTTAGGAATAAAAGAAAAGTTGCAAATATATGGCAGTGTGTTACATCCACAATTTCTGATACAAAATTATTTTGCATTGCTTTGTGAGACAGAAATTAAGAGTGCTTTCAGGTCATAAGATAAAAGGAAAAAAACAATAAATATATATTTGAACTTGGGATATGGGCTCAGGGTAAAAGAAGTAGTTCTTCATCTACTGAGTCTCAGTAATTTGATGATCTCTTCAGAATCACTTCTTGTAGCATCATTCATCCGTCAGCCTAACGTTGTCTATGGCAGTAGCTCTTCTCCAAAATAAGAGAACCCTTTAAATTCTTCTTGATTGATTTGTTTTATAATTGTCTCATCCACTAGTGTTAATACTGGTTCTTCTCGTGTAAAGTCTTGATCAAAGTTATTTACATCCCTTTTGGTTTTCTGAGAAGAGAAATATAAATAAGGTGAATGGTAAAACAGCACAATAAAATAAAAGGTGCTCTCTCCTCCTCTCCAACCCCCCCAAAAAGGCTGAATTTTCTGGAATGATTGAAAGAAAAGAGGAGCTACTTCACACAAATAATAACAGACATATGAGAGAAGCTACAGGAGCAAGAAGTATAAATGAGTTTAGGAGAGGCCACAGAAGCAGTACTATAAATGAGGTCCCAGAGACTCACGGTCTCTGACAGGTGAAGGAACAGCAGTATGATGATAAAGCAGAAAGCTGAGATTAGGACTAGTTTTAAAAAGGCTTTGGCGTAGTAGGCGGTATGGCCATTTCCTCTTGGATTTGAACATAAACATATCTCATTCAGAGTCACAGAGTGAACTGATTTAATTGATTCCCCCCAAACACAGCCCAGTGTTTCAAATTTAAGTTAACAATTTCTTTATATCACCACAAGTGATACAGGCTACACTCATGTTTAAAAATCTGAGGTAAAGCTTCCAACAGCTCTCAATCCAAAACCCTTGAGTTCAACAATGGATTTCCTAATGCTGCCATATGTAATTGAGAACACCATGCAAAATATGAAATCCTGTCTCCAGAGAAATCCACTTCAGAACTCTTCTTTATTTCAATGGCACCAGGATTTTCCCACCCAAGTCTAAAGCCCCTCACTCCTTCAGCAAAGTTGGGCCAATAAAGTGCAGCTGTGCATGTTCTGGGACAAGAGGTATTAAGAGAGACAGTCCTGGGGAGGCTGATTTGCTGTCCTCATGACACTCATGACAGTGACTATCCATGACCACTTACTTGAAAAAAAACCACTCTAGGTGACAGCAGAAAATGTTCTCCATGGTGATTCCTTTGAACCTGCAGTGCTCACATTTTCCATGTTGGCAGCACATTTCAGGCATGTACAGGTTCAGGGAATTGGAACAAACCTTTTTCTTTATGCTGTCTCTTTTCTCTTTGTGTTATGGAAACTACTAATTACCTGGGTGATCCTTAATGGAGGCACACTGACACATTGAAAATGAACTTTGTGTTCCTCCTGCCCATGCATGAGATTAAATGATACTGGAAGTAGAACAGCTATTTGACTTGCAAAGTAAAATGATAAAATGAAAAAGTCATACATCATAAATATATCAATATATTCAAAATGGGATATATACCACCTTTCCATCTTTCAATGTAGGTAAACTTTTCAATTCTGCAGATATATATATATAAGTATTTTATTAATAGTCAACCTTCACCTACACTGTAAGAACTTCATAGATATAGGGAAAGAAAGGTCTGTGTAAATGCAAGAGACTGTCACTTGTAAACCAAGTACTTTCTAAGTGCAGACAAACAAAAATCCACAATCTCTACCTATAGAATTCCATTAAAAGGAAAGGGATATGGACTTAAAAAATAAATATTAAAAAATATTTATTTAGATTGTTTACATTTCAAATATTTACTTTGTACATAAAGACCAGACATGAAATGTATGTGACTCATTTAAATCTGAATTGCATAAGAGGTACGAGTGACATGGCTTTGGACTTTATGAGGGTTTTTTAAAATTAATTTGGCAAAACCTGCAAAATAAAAATGAAATTCCATCTTAATTTTTAAAAGCATTACATTGCAACTGTGCCTACATTCCTCTTGTTTTCCATGTCCTACCATAGTATTTTCACACACTCACACATTTTGCCACAGGAATACTCACTAAAGCAGAAGAAGGTGAGTATTTGCAAAAAGTAGAATTCAAATTCAGAACTGTAGTTATATGCAAAAGAAATGTGACTACCCTCACACTTTTACTATCTATCAAGGACAAATAAACTTTCAAGTAGCTGAAAACAAATAGAATATATATTATTTTCAGGTTTCTATATTGAACATATTTGTGAAAAGTATTATTTCCTTGCATAACTTAAAAGAGTTAAATGACAAATTCCTCAAAACTGTCAGGGGCATTTAATTCCCCATAGCTACTTATTCCAGAAATCATGAAGACTTGTGAAGGTGTTGGACAAAAAAGAGCACAGAAGAGTACATATAAAAAAGGGTCCCAACATTGGTGTATGTAAATTCTATTGATTAAAAATAATTGTGCTGTCAGTAGGGAATCCCAAACACTTCTGAAACAACAAGCAAAGATATTTGCTTAGATTTAAAAGCTTACTGTGTCTTAAAATATGACTTCAAGACCAAAGAAGGAAAGAGAAGGTTTTACTTTCTCTGATTTATAAACAATTCCATGTAGTTTTGGCAGCATAGGTGTAAATCACCCAATTTATTAACAGGTCAAGCAAGGAGCAATCTACAATTGCAAGGATGGGCTAACAGGTCTCTAATTAACCAACTGATTAAGTGAGATAAAACAAATCACGGGGAGCAAAAGTGAGTGGATTAAGCCAAGGTAGCACTCATAACAAGTGCTTCTTTTCAACTGAAAGATTTATTTGAGAAGCCCTCCTTAGCAACTTAGGCACTTTCTTCCTGAAGCTATGACTATTTTGCAAGGCTCCATTTGCTAAGACAAAACAGGTCTGGCCACATTTCTGCTACTACTGGTATTTTAATGTACTTGCACTGTGAATACTCTGTAGGCCAAGAGCATGAACCATCCCAGGGTTGCATCATGAGGGCTCAGGATGAAGGTATGAAGGGCTGTACCTGTCTCCTAGCAGAGAAGCTGAGAAAAGAAGGAAGATCTGCAAGGTAAGGAGAATATATGAAAGAAACAGAGTGCAGCTATTATCTGACTTTGAACATTTAAAAATCATGAAGATAAAAGGAAAAATGTTTAGATTGACTGCTAAATGCCTAATTTAAAATGCAGTAATTATATGGGTGGGATTGTGTTTATTTAGCCTGCAGCTCCTAAGACTCTGGGACACATTATTTTAAACTTTTCTGACTTTTTTCCAGGTTAGACTCTTCAATTTCAGATGACTGAGGAAACTACAATACCAGGGGAGAAGAACATCCAGAATTACAGCTGTCCTGCTAAACACACAGAAATTCCATTAGGTTTCAGGTGCTCCTTTTTTTCTCTCTAGACTACCCAAGCATCTTGTCTTTAGCTACACAAGAGCAGGAGCACAGCAGCTACCCAAAAGCTCCCAACAGTAGGTGCCTAACTTCACACTGCGCTGGCAATGACCAAAAATGGCATAATTCCAACTCTAAATCTCATCAGAATGATGGCTGCTCCACCAGCAGAAAATCTCTGGTACTGAGAAGGAATAGTGACCACCTCTCGTGCGGGACACGTGCCAGCCACTTGATCTTTTGTTTTTCCCAGCAGTGTGAATGGTGACCTTCAGAGCTCCCACCTGAGCAGTGACTGTGTGACTTAGGAGACATGATATGATTAGATGTAAAACTTGAATATTTAATAAACCCATATGACTACCCGCCATCAAGGATAACAATTTTTAAGTCAAAAGCATGTTTTATTCTATTCAACAAGATAAAGATATCAGAAACTATAAAAGGCTATCTCTTGATAAAACACCATTTAATCAGCTTTTGTAGCTGGCCTGTACAATTTTGGACAAAGAGCTATTGGGTTTTATGAGTCAAAGTGCTTTTTTTATTCTCAAATTTCTTCACATATTTATTAAAAGATGCTGTTAATAAGCACACATTAAACGGTGGTTTTCTGAATTCTTTTGTTTTCACTGCCATTTCAATAAAACATTCAATTTCTACTTGCAGTTACAAGCTCAAGCTTAAGAAAACCCCACTAAAATCTGCTTATTAAGCTTTTTCAATGTTGAGGATTAGCAACCTTGTCTGTCAGTGATTACTGAATGACTTCATATGAATTTCAACAGTGAAAAAAGAAATTTAAGTTCATGTTCTTATAACTGAGAATACATTCAGAAAGTTAAAACTTGCAGTTCCTTCCGTTAATTACATGAAGGAAATGTGAATTATGGGAGCCTTTGGTATTGAAAAGCCACAGAAATTCTTGCAAGAAGGCACCTGACAGAAGGTGCTCCAAACCAGGGAACTCAGGAACGCTTGGACAACTCATCAACCATGTCATGAGGCCAAGAGGCTCAGTGGACTCTCTTCTGCCTAATAAAGATTAATTATCCAGTTTGGAGACATTAAGAAGTCTCTCTCTTTGTTACTTATTTTCATTTAATTTGCAGAAAATCACTGAAACCCTTTCAAGTCCACTGAAACCTCAACAGCTCTCATAACTGTGCTAGCATTGTCCAGCAGCTTCAAAGGCTACTCAGAGAAGGTAAAAACCAGATGAAGGTGGTGGCTAGGAAAGAACACTGCCATGAAAGAATGGGGTTTGTGTTTTAGTCTGATTGTCCTACAAATTCACAATATGCTGTTTAAATATAACTACAGGAGGCTGCTGCAGCTTTTGGTGTGCAGCTCCAGAGGCACATGACAGCAAGAACGGGACATGCAGCAAGAGTCACACTTTCTCATATGTATTGGTATCACTTAATTTAATACAGAATTTTATTTCAGCAAGTAATAAGTGAGTCCCATGTTTGACACAGTATCATCAAGAAGAAATTCTTCGATCAGGATCATAAAAGCTCAAACATTTTGTATCTACCTCATAGCTGATAAGACTTTCAGATTATATTTATCAAGACAAAGGGAAACTCAGACATCAAACCAGCTGGTTTGCAGCACAAGGTTATGTGGCTAACCTCACACGTCACCATCCTCTCACTCACCTCTCCTTGTTATGATAACAAAAACCACAGCACAGGCAGAGATCACTTTGCACCATAGATGGGATTTCTTTTTGTAGAGGTGTAGTAGTTTCTAATTATTTGAGACCAACTTTAATGACTGCTCATTTTTGCACATAATTTAAGCTATTTATAAATAAATTCAGTATGAATATTTTAAAAGAAATAGGCTAAGAAGCACAACACTTCAGGCCTGTCTTTCACTTTATCCTCAGGATGCCTCCTCACAGTATTTGCATGTCCTGAGAATCTGT